GAGGTAGTTCAGGCTTGATCCAGCCCTTTTGCTGGGATGAAGAGGGTTTTTCTATCAGTGCTGTTGATTGAAAAATACAACCAATGCAAGCTGAGTTTACAAAGAATGTGCAGACTTATTATGTTTGTTTAAAAAAAATCTCCATTCTTCCTTATGTAAATCAAGGCTTAGACAAATAAACTGCCTGGCTCACGGTCTCCAGCATTCTAGGTAAGGATACAATAATGTGCAATAATATGGAAATTTCACTGATGATATGAAGTGGCTGTTTGAATTATTTTATTTGGTTATTTTATACAACAAACTTCAGAAAATGAATGCTGATTATTAGAATGAGTGAGGAGATACTGTCTAGGCAGAGAAACAGCATCAGAAGAATTATTTCTTAACCAAGAGGGTTAAAACAGCATTTTGTGACCTTTTTGGAATTTTTATTTTATTTTTAGTTTGAGGCAATATTCTTTACAAAAGGTATTTTGAGACTCTGAATGGGGGTAAAGCCCCATACAATTGCAGTGGAATTTTATATCCAACTTTGCTGCATTGTCCAGCATATTCATACATGATGCATCATGATACTAACTCTAATGTAATATATTAAATAGAGATGAACTTATATTATCCTTATTTATAATTTACAGCCAACTATATGCCATTAAGTAAACACAAATGTACAGAAACCCAGAATTTTAAAATAACAAATTGCACTTGTTTGCATTTTCAAGGTACAGTACTTTTAAAATATTAACTAGTTATCTTCACAACAATCTTGATAAGTATCATAACACCTGTTTTGAAAATAGAGAATCTGCACATGTATCAGTTGATGGGAGACCATTTTGAGATACTGTACCTCTGGGCTGATAAGTTCTGAGAAGCTGTAGGTCTTATAGATTTCATTAGGCATTACACTTCCAAAAGTTAAGCACAATGTTGTCTCAAGTTGATCACCCGCAATCTGAGGCAGCCAAAATCAGTGGTTTTGTTTTGAAAATTATGTGATTTCCTCTGAGGCCACACAAAACCAGAACCTAAGCATGGAGGTCCTGACTGCCTATCATATGTTCAGATTATTAGTGTGTGCTGTAAATATACAGACTTTCCAATCTGCATTTCTATTAAAGTTTATATAACCTAAAATAAGTTATTTTGAAAAATTGTTCTTGTTAAGCTTTGAGGCTAGGAGAAGCAATGGGCTTAAATTACACCATGGGAAGAACAGGTTGGATATTAGGAAAAACTTCCTATCAACATAGATAAGCAAAAATTGCCTAGGGACATTGTGGACTAACAGGGATAATAAGTTTTTAAGAACATGTTAGATAAACGCCTGTCAGAAATGGTCTAGTTATTATGCAATCCTACCTTGAAAGCAAGAGACTAGACTAGATTACTATTGAGGTTTCTTCCAGTCCTGTGATTCTATGCTTATCTTTCATCCAAAATGTATGAAATGCTCATTCTGATTGGCAAGCATGGAAAATGCCATCTCTGCAGTTCATAGATATCTCATAAAGTGCTCACCCTTATTGTGCTATGCACAATTCAAACAGAGAGCAGAACTTAAGAACAAACCCAAATAACTTAATATTTAAAAATAGATCAAGAGGGGAAGTATTTCCTTTTCTATAAAATGAGTGTGCCATAAAATAGAGAGATTAAGGCCCCAGTCCTGCAATGACCTACAGACAGGGAGACCCCAGATCTTTCACTGGCACAAGTGATTTGTCCACTGTCATGTGGGAAATCTGTGACAGAAGTATGACGTGAACCTGGATCCCCTGGACCACAATCTAGTGTCTTAAGTACAAGATGATCCTTCTTCTCTGCCCTTCTGCTTTTGCTACCATCCTGTCTATTCCCTTGCCCTGAAACTTATTGACATATCCCACCCCACCTAACCTGCCTTCAGATGAAATAGAAAAAATCGTAAAACCAACTGATCACCGTGGATGCTTCCCCTTAAACATCTAAATCAGCCAATAAACATGGGAGAAAGAGAAAATGAAAAGTATGTGCTGGAAAAACAGAAAAATCATCACCTGGACCAGCTGTGATTATTGTAGCCTACAATGTACTCTAATGTGATCTTGTGGATAGGGAACATTGGACTGAGATTGAGGCTACCTGAGTTCTGTTCACAGCTCTGCATGTCTGATCTGATGTTTGATTTTGGGCAGGTCATTTCATCTTTCTGTACCTCTGTTTTTCTTTCCACACTTTTAACTATCTTGTTTATTTAGATAGGAAGCTTGCCAAGGCTATCCGGCACAATGGGGCCTGGTGTTGTTTGAGACCTGTAAGAGTTACCGTAACACAAATAAATAATACAGCTTGAATCTCTCTAAACTGGGACTCTTTGATCCAACAGGACCATGGATGTTCCTGGATCAGAGAGTCCCATCAGCTGGGAGTCCAGCTGGGCAGGCAGCAGGGGTACTGGTGTCCGGCAGCCCTGCTGGTCTGGTTGCAGTGGAGGAGGGCTAGCAGTAGTGAGGCCAGGTGGGAGTGGCAGTCCTGGGACCAGGAGCCTTACTGGGCTGGCAGCAGTGGTGCTGGCAGTCCTGACAGGGCTGGGAGCCCAGCAGTGACCTCCCCTTGGTATGGCAAACTCCCTCATTCGAGGCCAGTCAGGTCCCGAGGATGCTAGATCAGAGAGGTCTAACTTGTATTGCAAGGAGCAGTTAAAAATGCTTGAAGTAAAACTTTTTTCTTTTTAACACACTGGTTTAGGAATGCATTTTTTAGGATCAAGAAAACCAACGGAAACTCTTTAGCTGAACAGATTCATAGTAGCAAAGACTGTATACAGGAACAGATTCATAGTAGCAAAGACTGTATACATTCATCAGTTGTAAAGATGAATATACATACACACGCATGATTGTTACAGGATCTTGGTTGGGCAGAGGGCAAATGCCTGATCAAAAATCACATAATTCCTTTCACTTCCAACAGATCTATTGCCACGCAGAATTGATTTCACCTAATCAGCACCATTCTTTAAAATAAATCAAAATAAACTGAAACAATGAGACAATAATGAGGTAGGTGCATTTTTCAAACAAAGTCTGACTTTACTAAATTGTTTCATGCTAATATTTTTTAAACTGGTCAGTATATTGTGTAATTAATTAAGTGGTTGCATATATTGTATCTAGAATAAAGTTTACAGGTATTTTATTTCCAATCATTTTTCTAGGGGTTTAAAAAAGAAGGATCATGATATGTCATCAATTTGGCATTGTGACAAACTGATTATGTGACTAAGTTGTGTGCTTGCTTTTCTGTGTATGCATAAAATGAATGGAAGAACCTTGAAATACAGGATTTTCTTTTTAAATTGAATTATATATTAAAATAACCACCAATAATGCACTATATTGTAGAATATAGAGATGTAAAAGAGCTAACTGGGCATGTCAAACATCTCCCTTCCACTTGCTCATTCCTTGTCACATTTTCTTGTGTTTTATCAAACTATGTTAATTGACTCATCCCACACTTTGCCTTTGAATGTTCTTGTTATCAAGTCAAAGGTTGGTTCATAGATCCCCATGATGATGTGATTCCTATCTAGGCTTTATTTGCTTTCTTGTAGCATACCCAAGAATGTGCTCAGTGTGCCTGTGATAATGGAATTCACTGTCATAGTTGTCCTTGCCGACTTCAGCCCAATGCCTGCTATAGGAAGGAGAAGCTCTGCAAAAGTTACAGACTAGTAATAAGAAGAAATTAACCCAGCCACATACTCTCCCT